GGGCTTTGCGCTGGGTGGTGTAGGTACAGCAGATGGCACCACTGCGCCGCTCAGTAACGAGTTTCTTTTCGGCTCTGCGGATGCCGAGGTTGAGGATTTCACTTTGCTCTGTGAGCCTCCATTCGAGCTTGCCCTCATAGGGTCTATCGCTCTCCAATAGGGCGTCAAGACGTCTAAAGTGGAGCACCCAGAGGGACACTCCTCGAAGAAGCAGCTTTGTTCCTACTATTAAAATTTAACAATGCTTGGTTTCAGAAGGCTGTCTGGATACTGTACTCACCACTGGTCAGACTCTTGAAAGGAAGAAACTGCACCGGTGTATATGCACAATGGATGCACCTTACCTTTGATCTGAGTACATGCATTCCAGGTACTAAGAGGCAAAAAGAAACCTCCTAGGCCTGTATTAGGATAAATAGGTTTGTGAGGCTAACTCTTTTTGTTGCTATGAGAAAATCAATTATATGTCTTGATACTGACAGTTTTCCTATCTCCTTAAGCCAAAGCTTACTTCAGTTTATGTAAGAGGTTATGGGATACTTAACATAAGTGAACAGGATTATAACAGGCCAATTTGGGCTATATAACTGCTATATTAATGCTTAATAATATGTATACTTAAATGCTTGGAATATGTTAATAATACTACCCACAATATATAATATATATGTATGCTAGTCAGCGTATATCAGTCAACAGTAGCCTTCAACCTGTTATGCACCATCCGCTCAGTTACTTAATGAACCCATCAAGTCTTAGACCATGACCAGACCTCTGCAGTCTTCACATTCCAGAATGGGATCGTATACCCTAAGAGACATGGGATCACTCGGCTTTGAGTCCTACAATTCTGCCAGCATACTCCCCTAGCAGGCCACTTTGGCCATTCCAAGATTCAAGACCTGGTTTCCAGGAAGTTTTGGTGGCCAGCCATATGCACCTCTGTTGCGTCCCGTGTAGATTCCTATGATCTTTGCACCCGGACTAAGACTGCCCCATTCAAGACTGCTGGGTCTCATCCAGCCCCATCCACTCCGCCCTGGATTTGGGCCATCCTTCGCATGGACTTTATCATAGAATTACCACCTTCCCAAGGCCACAGTACAATTCTAGTGGTGGTTGACCACTTAACCAAGCTGGCATATTTTGTTCCATGCCAGGTGCTTCCTTCTGCTCAGGAGACAGTTCGCCTATTTGTGAACAACATCTTTTGTCTCCATGGCTTGCCTACAGGCATGGTATCTGACCAAGGAGTCCAGTTTATTTCCTACTTCTGGCAAGAATTTCTAGGCCATCTGAGTATTGACACCCTAACCACAATGGCCTTGTATACAAGCACCAATAATCAGGCAGAGTGGGTCAATGAAGTTCTTGAACAGTACCTACGTTACTTTCTAAACTTATCATTGAGATAATTGGCTGTCCCTGATTCCTCACCTCACGCCAGGTTTGCTTACATCAATGCTACAAATGCCTCCAGCAAGTAAGACCCTTTTCTTTGCTAATTATACTTTCCACCATCATGCTCACCCAGAGATCCTCGCCAAATTGTCAATGCTTGCCATTACCAAAATCATTGCCCACAACTCCAGCGGCAGTTAAAAATGGCCAAGACAACTTATGAATGGTATGCCAGCCAGTTCCGCCAGCCAATACCTGGTTTTAGGGTAGGGGATAAGGGGTGGTTATCCGCCTGGAATCTGTGATCAACTTGCCTCTCTGCAAAGCTGGATTATCAGTACACAAGGTCTTTCCAGATCATGAAACAGATTAACCCTGTTATGTTCAAGTTACAGCTACAAGATTCTCTCAAGATTTACACATCTCCCTTCTAAAATTTATTATTCAAGAATCCTTTCCCACTGCATACTAGTCGTCCTCCTCCTCCACCTATAACTGTTTGGGGCCAAGAAAAATAAGTGGTTCGATATATTCTAGATCAGGGGTGGGCAAACTTTTTTGGACCGACAGCCACATCTGGGTATGGAAATTGTATGGGAGGCCATAAATGCTCACGAAATTAGGGTTGGGGTTCAGGAAGGGGTGAAGGCTCTGGCTGGGGGTGCAGGCTCTGGGGTGGGTCAGAAATGAGGAGTTCAGTGTGCAGGAGGGACCTCCAGGTTGGGGCAGAGGATTGGGATGCAGGGGGAGTGAGGGCCCCAGCTGGGGGTGCAGGATGAGGGGTTTGAGGTGTAGGAGGATGCTCCAGGCTGGGACCGAAGGGTTCAGAGTGTGGGAGGGGGTTCTAGGCTGCGCTTACCTCAAGCAGCTCCTGGAAGCAGCAGCATGTTCCCCCCTCTGGCTCCTACGTGGAGGTGTACCTATCTATCTCCTAGAACTGGAAGGGACCCTGAAAGGTCACTGAGTCCAGCCCCCTGCCTTCACTAGCAGGATCAAGTACTGATTTTGCCCCAGATCCCTAAGTGGTCCCCTCAAGGATTGAACTCACAACCCTGGGTTTAGCAGGCCAATACTCAGACCACTGAGCTATCCCTCTGTGTGCTGCCCCGTTCTCAAGTGCTGCCCTGCAGCTCCCATTGGCCACAGTTCCCAGCCAATGGGAGCTGCGAGGGCGGCACTTGGGGCGGGGGGCAGCGCACGAAGCCCGTGGCTGCCTCTATGCGTAGGAGCAGGAGGGGGGACATGCCGCTGCTTCCAGGAGCTGCATGGAGCCGCGGCATATGCACGCGGAGTGGCCCCCGACCCTGCTCCCCAGTGGGAGCTCGAGGGCTGGATTAAATTGGCTGGCAGGCCAGATGTGGCCCACGGGCCATAGTTTGCCCACCCCTGTTCTAGACCCTTGCTGGGTATCTAATTGACTGGGACAGGTACGGCTCAGACAAACGTTCCTGACAACCTGCAGAACACATCCATGCCTGAGATCTCCTGCAAGTCTTTCACCACATGTACCCCAAGAAACCAGGCTCCAAGGCCTCTAGATGGCACCCTCGATGGGGAGGGGGGTACTGTAAAGGCCTGCAGCAGAGCTAGTCTCCAGGCAGCCTCATCAGTACAGCTGGTCTGTAGCAGGCTGCCAATATGCCGATATGACCGGCCATATCACCTGATTGGCTGGAGGGGCTAGCAGGCCGGCTCTTAAGCCAACAGCAGTAGCTGCAGCTAACTGGCTTCTCAATGCTCATGCCCAACATTGTGCTTGCACTTGTGTTACCTTGTTCCTGCCTTGCACCCAGCCTTGCCTCTGTCCTGCCCTTGCCTTGAACCCTTCTTTCCCTGCTACCCTGCTTACTCCACTTCCTGACCTCTGGATTGACCTGTGGCTCTAGCTTCTCACTACTGACTCCGGCTTGACCCCTTGCAGTTTCCCAAGCATTTTCCTCACAGGCAAGAGACTGCCCATGGATGCTGATAAATGTGTGTTTATACACTGTAACAGTTGTATCATAAAGGATATCTTGAAGGGGGTGGAGTTAAAGTTGTGTGGTTAATTCTAAAAAGCGATGTAAGCCTGTGGGGTAGAACCCTCAGCCAGGGAAGATTAATAATGTTCTCACCAGCAGCAGTTACAACCCCATTCTATGAGTTTTCTTTTATAGCTTCATAAAGAAATGATTCCAAACAAACACAAGCCATTCAGAAGAGTTCTCCCAAATGCTCTAGACCCCTCCAGCCTTTTAACCAACTGAGATGGGGAAAGGACATGGCCTTCCCTGAAGGTGGGCACTACCACAGCCACTTCTCCTCTACCCATCACCCATATGACAGGCAGGGGTCTGAGTTAACCACTTACGCACTAGAGCGTGTGGAGCACCTTTCGACCTTGTCACAAGTGACTACACAAAAAATGGCATCTTCACGTTCAACAGCTCTGCTTCCCATGTGTATCCTGTCTGCTGATTTGACCCACTAAAATGGTTTTACTACTTCTTTACATTTATGACCCTGGAAAGACAGTTCACCTCTGGTGGAGAGGGCTGGAGTCTGTTCCCATGAACCCAGCTCAGTTCTAGGAGACACAGCTGGAGTCTGTTCTGGCTCATGCAGCATTCACAGAATTGTTAATTGCACCGTTTTCATTGCTGACAATGCATCAGCAAGAAATAGCCCTGCTTGCATCTCAGATTCAGGCACAGTTTGTAGAGCGGTCAGTTTGAAAAGTGGCCGTATAAATAGCGTAGGGCTGTATGGCGGTGTCTCTCAGTGAGTTGACTCCAGATCAAGTGAAAAGATGTTTTTTCAGAGTACAACCAGAGTTTACCTTTCACGTTTTCTCGCTTTTTGGTGCTTCTGTTACTGTAAGGTGGCGACGTCCACCTTGATTGCATTGGCCTTGTTAGCACTACAAAAGTAATTTTCCCTCTCTTGATAATCACCCCTTCTTGTCAACTGTTGAGAATAGGCTGCTTCCACCTTAATTGAATTGCCCTCGTTAGCACTGACACACATACCCCTCCCCGCCCCGGTAAGGCAACTCCCATCTTTTCATGTGCTGTAATATTTATACTGCTTACTGTATTTTTCACTGCATGCATCTGATGAAGTGGGTTTTAGCCCACAAAAGCTTATGCCCAAATAAATTTGTTAATCTCTAAGGTGCCACAAGGACTCCTAGTTGTTTTTGTATCATTAATGTTACAGCTGAGGATTTTTTGCATTTAATTATATCATCATCTGCCAGATATCACGTGCCAATGTCCTGAGGTGTGTATAAGAAGCTCTCCTGTGATGTGTCCCCAGGAACAGGCTGATTTAGTGCTGCTGGGAGCCAATTCCTCAGAATTCCCTCACTTTAGCAAGGTTACACTTTAGACATTTAATTAATGCTTTTAACCTAAACATACATGTTTGCCAAAGGTATGATGGGCTGTGCAGCTGTGTGCAAGGTGGACACACACATACAGATGTGTAGGAAGTGAATACAGCTTATTTAAGTATGGCAGTGTGCACACTGGCATGTTGTGATGTGCACACTGCAGAAGTGTCACACTGAACTTCATGGTATGCACATCTGCTGAAAGCAGGGGAAAACTCCTACATACCATTCTGGGTTAGTTTGGTGGAGCACACGAGGGTGGAGATTTGGAAGCTGTCCCGGGAACATATGCCCATACCAGCCGTGCCACCACTCACTCGGAATGACGAACCAGAAAGGGTCTTGGTTTCTGACAGACTTCTCGTAAAAGGTAGATTCAGGTAAGAGCTGGCATCCTCCAATTTCCTGATGTCACCCTAAAATCCAAAGCGTGTCATCAGAATGGGCAGGACATAAAAGATTCAACCTGTATGACTCAGCATTTTTTGATAAGTTTGGTTGATAGCAGTAACTGTATTGACAAAATATACTTAGACTTGGTAAGGTATTGACTTAGTCCCAAATGATATTCTGGTACAATAATTAGCACTACACTAAGTCAGTGAAGAATATGGATTTAAACGATTACAAACTGGCTAACTGCTAGATCTCAAAGTAACTGTAGCGTTGCACTCCATATGTTTTATGGAAATATGCTTATGAGTGTAAATATGATGGATCTGGAATATTCTTTATGCTAAAGGTCTCTTGTAAGGTATTATTACAAAGCTTATAATCTACTGAGTGTGTTCATCCTATTTGTATGAGTGTATCGTTCATGTATCTGAAACTAGGAATATGAAATATAACTCTGAAATCCTATTGTAATTATGCAAAGTGTGGGCCATTAATGGTGGTTTGAAGCTTGATGGCTTCCACTGACTAGGACAATTGGTTGTAAATGGCTTCAAGCCTCCCTGGGTACGTGCGGGCCAGCCCTGGAAGAATGAAGTCTCACAGGACATGTGACCATGTCACAGGATACTGGAATCCATCTTAAACCTGGTGCTTTTCCATTTAGAAGGTGGGGTGGGGATCCAGAGAGACAAAGGGTTCCAGCATTGGGCCAAAACTATAAAAGGGGGTGGAACAGAATAAAGGGGGCTGCCAGTCATGAGAACACCCCTGCTTTCCACCTAAGATGTCTGCTGGAACTAACAAAGACTATACCAGGGGAAAGGATTGGACCCAGACTAGGAAGGAGTCTAGTCTGTGAAAGAAGTTTATTGGAACATCTCTGAGGGTGAGATTTACCTTTATTCACCTGATTGGAATTGATGTGAACAAGCACTCGAAGAAGAACTGGGTATAAGTAAGCACTGTCCTAGAGGATAACAGGGTTATAAGTAGCCACCAACATGGATTTGACAAGAACAAATCATACCAAACCAACCCAGTTCTTCTTCGAGTGCTTGTTCACGTCAATTCCAATCAGGTGCGCGCATGCTGCGTGCACATTTGCCGGGAAGTTTTTTCCCCTCAGTAGGTCCTGTCGGGTTGGCTATGGAGCCCCCTGGAGTGGCGCCTTCATGGCCCGCACTGTGTAACCCTTTGGGCTCCTCCCCCCTTTGGCTTCCTCCCTTCTGCCTTTCAGCATG